TTTAAACCCTCTTTATTGATCTCTCAAATACATTAGGAGTGGTTTTGTTCAACAACTACCTAAATGCGTACTTTCTCTTGAGCAGTACACACTAAATAGACACAGTCAATTGAGGGCCCTTCAACCAACTACAATAATAATATAGTTGAACAAGTAGAGAAAAGTAAATGGCGAATTTATATTAAACTCAAAGGAAAAATCATCCTTCAATAGGTTTAATCAAAAACTAGATTAGAAGTTTAGCTACTCATGTTCATAGTAACAATTTTCCAAGTATTTTGCATAAACAAATTACAAAGAAACGATGAAGGAATGTAGAACTCGATGATTCTTTTCCCCCAAAGTTGTTTCACGTGCTATTCTTGCCTCTGGTCGCCAAAACTCCTTCAAAATGGTGTTTAATGACTATTTATATGTGCAGGGAAAAATACCTAAATGAAATAGCCCAAGTCTAAACCCAATAAGGAGACGAAAATAGGCTTTTAAAATTTGGAAAACCCTTGCTATAGACAGAGCGCCGCAAGCTGTACGGTGTGCTCCACCTCGCCTTAGCCTGTGCATCGCTATCTCTTCCTCGAGCTTGATCTCACCTTAACCTAGGCGGCGCGCACTCAAACGCGAGCAAGACAACTCACCACGCCTGTTCTATCGTGAGCTATTTGGCTTGCTACGCCTGCTCACTGCTTCTTTTGCACTTTATCATCCAAAATATTCTTTTTGCTCGTAATTTCATCCCCATCGTACCTACACATGAAATAACTCAAATAAACACAAATGTAGTGTAGTTTAGCATTAAAGCACCTAACTGTACAGTAATTAATGCACTAAAAATATATAATTATAGTCATACATTAATTTTTCAGAACATGGGTCAAGGTAGAACTCTAAGATTGAGCATTTTACGAATCAAAGTTGGGCATCATAATGGGTCTATTTGGGCTGATGATTTTTGATGGGTTAACTTGAGCTAGCTCAAAACAACTCATTTTCGAAATCATTCTAGCTCAAACCCATTAAAACTTGGGCAGGTTGGGCGAGTCAAATGGATTTGGGTTAATTTTGCCACCCCTAGATATATTAGACAACACTATAACTCGTATTCTTCACATCAACAACAAATTGATTATACTTCCAGTCCATTGACAATGTTAGAAAAAGGCAGCTTCATTTTTAAAATGTTTTCAAATTGTGGAGACATGCTAAGAAAAAAAATTGTGAAGATATGTGTTTCTCATCAAAATGATGTATTAATAAGCTTAGAACCATATCTAAATATTTTTTATGCCTTGTATTTTTTAGGAAACCCATAATCTCTATAGGTTCTGAAAAACCCACTGTCCTAAAAGATTTGGGAAAAGAAAAGATATTGTCTTTGTCAAATTGGGGAACCTTTCTCTTACATGTTTGAGACTATTTGGGATCTATATATAGCGTTTGTAGTTAGGGATTTAATAGATTGTATTGTGCTTTTATTCTCAGCATAGTGAAAAACCCTGTCTGCTTCTGCCCCGAGGATTAGACTTAGCCAAACTTCGTTAAATCCTTACGTTGATTTTTCTTCTCTATTTGCTTTGTGTGTGATTGTATGCTAGTTAACCCTCGATCTTCTGCAATAACTGGTATCAAAACCCGCATTCAGTTGGTTTTTTAAACATGGTATCAACAAAAGAGGCTTTAACATGGTATTCTCTTTAACCTAAACATTCAATTGGTTATTTTAAAATGCTTGCAGATTCTTTTAACAAGGTTCATTTTGCAGCAAGAAAAGTGCAAGCTAGAAAAATCGATATATTCAGAATCGCTAAAGGAAACTCTGATTTGCTACGAAAGTTCGTCATCCGATTTAAAAAAGAGAGAATGTTGTTGCCAACAGTACCGGATGAATTAACAGCGGAGGCATTTAACAAGAGTCTTAATCCCACAAGCTCCGATACTGAAGGAAATTGAAGGAGAGTCTGGTGCAAGCAACAACGCGGGAAGATGTTCATAACAGATATGACTCAAAGATTCATGTAGAAGATGATCGGATAATTAAAATCAAAATCTTCTACGACCCGGAATCAAAGTCAATTGAACTTTGATAAGAGGCATTCCAGACACCGATTTGAATCATACCCATCATGATCACGGTTTGACATGAGAAAGGGGCATACCCGAAGTAAGTCGCCAGAAAATAACTTCGATGAAAGACAATAATATCTACGAATGTTAGGGACTCTTGCATCAGAGCAGCAAAAACTGTGACAAGAAGTATTGAACGCATCTGAAAATGGCCCTTAAACAATCCGTACAGGATACTAGAGCTACCCCGAACTAGCTCTAGAGTTCAAAAAAGGACTGGGGACAACCAATTAAAGGACTAGGGACTGCCAAATCAGCCCCAGGAAAAAAAGAAATATAAAAAAGCAGAATAAAGAATCGGCTAGACCTAATAAATATTTGCCTAGCCGTAATATTATTACAAGGTATTTTTGTTCATTTTCTGTAAATTGTCGTATATACAAAGTTGCAAACACTTGTGAATTAGTGGAATAAAGCAAAATTTGCACTGTCTCAAAACATTCTCGTATATGTTTTAATGAACAAAATCATTCTTAATATTTGCCCATTCTTTGAAGCAAAAAAGGATTACAAATCCAAATAATTATGTACGGATGAACAGGAGACGTCCTCTTCATAAGTACCATAAACATAAGGGATCTATCTTATGAAGCCATCTAATAAAATAGCTAAAGGTCGAATGTCTTGTTTCCGGATCGTAATGTTAATCATAAGCATTAAATTTTCGAATTTTATCAAAATTCGAAGTACAAAATTCCTGATCATTAACATTCTCGGTCTCTAAGGCTGTAAGGTTATAAAAGTTTTTGGAACAACTAACAGCCCAAGAGTCAAAACTGAAAGTAAAGTTTTCGGGTAACTAAAAACCCATAAGTGAGAAACTTAAAGAAAAGTTTTCGGGCATAACTAAAAACCCAAGAATCAAAACTCAAAAATTAAAGTTTTCTGGTGAATACTAAAAATCTGAAATCATGTTTTTTGTGATGGTAGTACTTTTTTAGCGCCAATCGATCATCAATGAAAGAATAATAAGTGGTGGAGTTGTCATTTGAATCCCTAAGTTTTGCACTCTTTTCTCCTTCACCCGATTTTTGTCCCGATTTGATTTTTTCGGTAAAGTTTTTAATGAGACAGTAACGAGAGTGAAAAACTTCCACTTCCCAGTCACATCATTTTGAATAGCCGAAAAGTAGGGGACTATCTGTGTACGGTAAAAATCCGTCTCAGAAGATGAGTGAATTAAAAAGCAACACGTGTCAAGGATGACTAATTAACATTGATTTAACAATGTTCACATCGGATACAAACCCGTGGCATGATAAGATATTGATATCGGATACAAATCTGTAGTCGGATAAGAAGTAATTCAAGATATGGGCGGATAAGAAATAATTCAAGATATGACCGTTGTAGAAGACCCCAAGATTCCTCCCGCATTTATCAGCCTTTATTGGGCTTTATTGCCCTTTATTACCTTTTATTGTAGCATTAATATTGGTAATCAATGGAGCATAATTGGTAGATCATACACTTCATAGTTGTAGTATAAATATAAGTTTTCATTCTATTGTCGGACATCAAGAAATACTGACAGCAAAAGACTAGTATTCTTTCTCTCAAGCTTTACACAAGTATTGTCGAGATTTTCTAATTATTCTTGATTCTAGTGGTAATATTCCGAAGCTCAAGTTTGTCTTTTCTTCAATTCTCTTTATTTTAATCGCTTTGTTCTTCATTATTTTATTTTATCGGATCAATTTAATCAACATGTCTCTAAACCACATTACAAATTCAACTGTACCATTTTTTCGGTAAACAATAAATACTCTAAAAATGTGGGAGGCACACAATGAATCTAAAAAATTAACCCGTGGATTGTGGCAATGGGCTACATGTAACTTAGTTTGAGGGGGAGACCGTTGAATCGTGGTAATGAGCCATGCGAAACTTAGTTCGAGGGAGAAATTGTTGGGTATGCGAACGAAGTCCCTCATTGATAGATGAAAAGATTGGGATCCTACATATAAGGTATAGTGATCTCTTAATGGTGTAAGACCTTTTGAAAAAAACGATGCAGGCTTGGCCCAAAACAAATAATATTACTCCGTACAACATATTAAGAGTATGTGTGAGCCGTTTTAGCCTAGACAACCCCCTATTAAAACGAAAAGTTAACTGAGAAAACGCCAGGGCTTTAGTTATCCGCCAAAATAACACTAATTGCACAACTACTACAATTTAATGAGTCTTTTTCATATTGCTCCATTCATATCACATAGAGTATTAAAGAACAAGAGGAGTTTGTTTGCATTGATCCGGCGAAACCGACATCGCAATAGGCCTAGGCTTCCATTAAGTAGTTCAAGTTCAACAAATCATTTAACTACACGTCTTTTTTATTTTATTTTTCATTTGTTTAATGGGAGGTAATTATACTTTTCATTTATGTGAGAAATTTTGAGGGTAATTTGGTCATTTAGCTTTTAAAGAATATTTTTATAAATTAAATTTGAATTAGAATATTAACATTTGTAATATAATATGATATGATTGGAACCAAAACCCTTGTACTACGCTTCAGGTGTATTTTGCAGTCTGTTGAGCTCAATATCTTAGAACTTTTGCTTAACACTCTCTCTCAGATTGTTGACTTTGACTTATTTCAAAACTAAAACCATTGGGAAAATAAAGAATCTTTGATGTCCTACATCAATTGCATAAATAACGGTGCAAAATCTGTAGATTATAGGTTTAAGGTACAGCAAGTTAAAAATCTTGTCGTTTTTACCAAATAAGACTGTAAGAAAACAAAAAACATACGATTATATATGTAGAAAATTTGATATCTTAATTTTTTTATTTGGAAAATCTAATATAATCGTTCAAATGCATGTATGTAACTATGTTAGACTTCTTTCAATTACTCGACGGCCGCCCAATTAATAAAGAAAGCGAAAACATTGACGCTTGTGCTTTGTTCATTTAACCTTGACAAAGTAAAAGTAAAACAAAATTCTACACTCTTTGTGGCACAACATGAAACAGGTTCAAATAACATCAAGTTATATTTACTGCATAAATAACTACAGTAATTTTTTATCTTGTGATGTGTGTGATGAAAGAGTCCATCTCCTTGTGACTGCCACCGCCATCTACAACAGATTGCCTCAACTCTACAGCCCTTTCTCTCATCTTATCTCCTTCTACTGAATCCATCAATCTTTTAACACATTCTTCTACCATAACTGAAGTCACCAACTCTTCTCTGAGTGCCCAATCCTTCAGCACTACGCCAATTTTCAACACATTCGTCACCAAAAACGCATTTCTTGGCTGATCCGAATGCATTGGCCAAGCTATTATTGGCACTCCCATTGAAATACTTTCCATGCAAGAATTCCATCCACAATGACTCATGAATCCGCCTGTCGATAAATGTCCCAAAATTTCCAATTGTGGAGCCCAGTCTCTCACTATAAGTCCTCTTCCTATCACTCTTTCTTCATACCCTTTTGGTAACTCAACTTTTCTAACATCCCCTGTAAAAATATCGCCTTTATCTGCATCTCTCAATACCCATATGAACTTTTGCTGCCTTTGTTCCAACCCAATTGCTAGCTCTTCAATTTCATTATCTGAAAGTGAAGTTGTTGTACCAAAAGACACAAAAATGACAGAATTTGGTTCTTGTTTGTCGAGCCACTCGAGGCATTTATGGCGTTTATTTGAATCTTTTTTGTCATATGGTATCACTGGATTTAATGGACCAACAGCCCATTGTTTATGACTTGCAGATTTTTCTTTTGCAAGCAAATCAAGATACAATCCTTCAATTTCATAGCAAGAATTGTATAAATCGCCAGAGTTAACAAGTTCCCTGAACTCTGTTTGTACTCTGGAAAATTCTGAGAATTCTTGGGTAAAGCAGCCTTCTATTGAAGGAAGGTTTGGCTCAGTAGATTTTCCAGCAAATTCCAGGGCGAGTGAGTGAATATTAAGAGCTGAGATGCTACGAAAGCTATAGCACTCAACATTTGCTATAAAAGGTGCATCTTGAAGGACCCAAGCTATTAAAGAATCATAAATAACTATCACTCGTTTGTTGCACCTCGCGAGTTCACGTAAAAGAGAAGTGATTGGGTCGCGGAGATGACACGTGGCATGAAAAGATGGCATAAGTTGGGATGGAAATTTGGTTGAGGATTGTGGATTAGGAGGTGGAATTTCACAAGATGGGGTGGAAAATTCGTGAAAATGAATGTTAGATATGGAATGTGGGTCCCACCCTTGAACTCGAATTTTTGCTTGACGGGTGTGAGTGGTGGTTCCGACGTAATGGAGTGGGAGGTGATAGGCGGAGATGAGCCGCGAGAGGTGGAGGAGTTGGTTCAGATGACCTTGTGCTGGAAGTGGCACCATTACTACAGCTACCTTCTCTTGGTCATGATTTTCAAGATTGCTAGTTTTAGCCATTGGAGAGATTTTTGTGATGTCTATGAAAGTTGTTATGTGGATATTTAATGGTACAAGATGGTAGGTTGCATTGACAAGTTGTGAATATGTTAATTAAACCATGCCTTTGAATTTCCTAGGGACAGAATATGTCTTGTTCAAACGGAAAAAATAAGAACGAGTTTTTGTGGTCATGAAATCGAATATTCGACTAGAGCAAACGTCAGTAGTGACACCAATTATGAAAATGTTAGGAAGGTTACCGTTTTAAAATTATTTTCAACCCGACAAGATAAAATACTGACCTAATCTTTTCATAGAAAGGTTGATAAGAAAAATTAATTTATTTAGGTACAGTCGTATAGGGGCGTGTATAATTTGGTAAATACCAAATTATCAAAACAAAACCAAATATTTAAGCTAGCTTTTGGCTATAGATTCCCAAATTTGTTTTAAAAAATCTGATTTGGGTATTGTTTGATTTGAAGATGAAAATGTGTTTGGACATCAGTTTTCAAAACATATTTCCCAAATTTATTTTGGAAAAACATGACTTATACCCATAAGTTCTAAAAACTATCACAAATAATCAACAATACCATTATCAATAACATTCATTATATTATCGCAAATCATAGACATGAATATAAATATATTTGGTACACAATTATCATTTTTATAGTGAACAACATGATACATTATCAGATGACCGAGAAGACGAAACAACATTGTTACAAAATAATAAATGGTGGGCTCTTTTATAAAATACAAAAGTTTGGGGCAATTGTTAAAAAATATAATAGTGATATTTTGGCCCAAACCCAGCTATTAAGCTGGTTTTGGGATTTGGGATTTTGTCAAAATGTAGGCAAAATCTATGACCAAACATGTGTTTTCCAAATAAAATTCAAATTTATTTTGACAAAATCTATAACTAAACGGGTCCTATAATATTTGATATTTAATATTTCGGTATTTAGTATGATATTTAATTTAAATTTTTATTAAAAATTAATATTAGGTATGATATTCGGTATTTAAATTTGCCATTGAAGTGTACTACAACCCATGCTATTTCTTCGTCCCAGCACGTTGCATGTCTATTGATACCTTGCCGTAGTAGCATTTTTTGCTAAACTTCAGCAGCAACCTCGCAGTGAAAGAATAAATGTGATACACTTGACCTGCTTATACAAAGGACATATATAATAACAACAACGATTCAGTAAAATCTTATTAGTGAGGTCTGAGGAGGGTAGTGTATACGCAGACCATACTCCTACCCCGAAAAAGTAGGGAGACTGTTTCCAAAAGACCCTCGGCTCAAGAAGACGAAAATACAAAGACACAATATCAGTACATCCAATAGAAAACATAGGAAAAATAACATCATGAAAATTAGAAAGTAGATGCAAAGGAAAAACGATAGACAGTGTATAGACCAGACGCTATGAAAAACGAAATAGTAGTGAAATAGTAGTAAGATACAACATTACCACTAGATGACTAGAAAAACTACCAGACTAGCTTCACAAAGGGACGAAGTAAGGAAAGACTCAACTATCTCCTAACCTACAACCCTAATACTCGACTTCCACAGCTTCCTATCAAGGGCTATGTCCTCGAAAATCTTCCGCAATTAGCGCCCACCTTGCCAACTATTCCTTGTGTATAGCCTTCCACGAGTCGTCACTAGTGTCACACCTCCTTTTTTACGCCCCGCCCCCGAGGGGTAAGATGCGCGGGTGGAGTTTTTC